AATACTAGGATTTGCTACTTCTTGAATGCTTAATTTTACAAATTTTTTGTCTTCAAATGTACTTCATTATGGATGTCCTCTATCTGGACTTCCGTAAGGCCTTTGACATGGTCCCCCACAACATCCTTCTCTCTAAACTGGAGAGGTATGGATTTGACAGATGGACTGTTCAGTGGATGAGGAATTGGTTGGATGGTCGCATCCAGAGGGTAGTGGTCAATGGCTCAATGCACAGATGCAACAAGGTGACAAGTGGTGTCCCTCAGGGGTCCGTACTGGGACCTGTACTGTTTAATATCTTTATCAATGACATAGACATGGGGGGTCCAGTGCACCCTCAGCAAGTTTGCAGATGACACCAAGCTGAGCGGTGCAGTTGACACACCTGAGGGACAGGATGCCATCCAGAGGGACCTGGACAAGCTTGAGAAGTGGGTCTGTGTGAACCTCATGAGCTTCAACAAGGCCAAGTGCAAGGTCCTGCACCTGGGTCAGGGTAATCCCCAGTATCAGTACAGGCTGGGCTATGAAGGGATTGAGAGCAGCCCTGCGGAGAAGGACTTGGGGGTACTGGTGGATGAAAAGCTGGAGGTGAGCCAGCAATGTGTGCTCACAGCCCAGAAAGCCAGCCCTATCTTGGGCCGCATCACAAGCGTGGCCAGCAGGTCGAGGGAGGGGATTCTGCCCCTCTGCTCCGCTCTGGTGAGACCCCACCTGCAGTACTGCATCCAGCTCTAGAGTCCTCAGCACAGGAAAGACATGGACCTGCTGGAGCGGGTCCAGAGGAGGGCCACAAAAATGATCAGAGGGCTGGAACACCTCTGCTATGAGGAAAGGCTGAAAGAGCTGGGGTTGTTCAGCCTGGAGAAGAGAAGGCTGTGGGGAGACCTTATTGTGGCCTTTCAGTACTTAAAGGGGGCTTCTAAGAAAGATGGGGACAGACTTTTTAATAGGGCCTGTAGTGACAGGACAAGGGGTAATGGTTTATAACTAAAAGAAGGTAGATTCAGACTAGATATAAGAAAGAGATTTTTCACAATGAGGGTGGTGAAACACTGGAACGGGTTGCCCAGAGAGGTGGTAGATGCCCCATCCCTGGAAACATTCAAGGTCAGGTTGGATGGGGCTCTGAGCAACCTGATCCAGTTGAAGATGTCCCTGCCCATTGCAGGGGGGTTGGACTGGATGGCCTTTAAAGGTCCCTTCCAACCCAAACTATTCTGTGATTAATTGTTCAGTTATTGAGGAGTACTGCCGTACATCTCAGTTTCTGTCAATGGGATAGAAAAGGGTAAAAGACAGAGTCTATTTCTGTTAGGTAAAAACAGATTAGAGTTTCTATCTCAGTACTTATGGGATGCTTATAAGAAGTTGGAAATGTTAAGTGAATCTCACGTTACACACATATATGATAGAAATCTTTGAATATCAGTATTAGATTAGGCTGTGCTGGATGTCTCTTGTAGTTCCTCCATTCAAAAAACAGTTGTCTGCCATACTTTCTTCAGTATACAGACTACATGACTTTACCATGAAATCTTTCAGTTTACTCTCATTGTATGCAGATTTGGAAAAGTTATTGAATCATTATCCACCATTTGCAAAAACAGACTCCTCTGATAGAAGAATCTTAAAACCATCCTTACAAACCAGAGTTTAAGTCCCTCTCTGAATATTCTGTATCCTACTTTACTGTAGAAATAACCTTTTTGATAACCATTTTGTCACTCTGCTTTAGCAAAGTTCAGGCATTATTGACTGGTGATCCTAACAGCACAGAGACATAATGAAGTTGAGACCTCATTCCGGATTATTCTTACATTTTTTTTTCCATTTTTTCATTAGTTCAATCTGTAATTTCCCTTTCATTCCCAACCCTCATTTTTCTGTGAGACAAAAACCTTTACTCTTTCACTGTATCAAGTTTGCGAAAATTTCTTGATGGAGAAAAATCCTGTACACCCGTATTCTACTATTTTTTTCAATAATAGTAGTATTAAAGCATAGGGCGGTTTTGTTTTCTCTTGTTTTCCCTTGGAGACCATCTAGGCAGGTTAAGGAATGTATTTTGACATTGTGTTACATGACTGTACACACATGCGCGCACACACACTTGTGCTGAAATAGTAGCCAATAAACCAGAGATACTATCTTGCCAAGTAAAAGGAAATATGACAAAGAAACTCTTAATGGTGCTACAGTGGAGGAGTTACTAGTGAGCTCAACAGTGTAGTAAGGTCAAAAGAAAACTGACTCTTCATAACCTTAGCAGTACAAAACAGATCATGCACATGTAAGCTACCTCAAATTTCCAAAATACAAAGTAAAAAATTTTGTTTCTGAAGTTACTGTTCATGAGTGGCTTGATAAGCGTGCTCTGGAAGCACCCAGCTGATTGAGTAGACTTACAAAATCCTCAGAGAACTATGGACTTCTCTGGAAGGTATAGAAAGGAAGTACAGAGAAGTATGCATAGCCTGTGTTTATACATGTTTCCAGTGTGTACAGTGTACAGAACAGATCACTGAACCTCAAACTAATTCAAGGTCTGAAGCAGTCTACAGGAAGGCATTGCTATTTATTATGTGTAAAGGCAGAAGATATGAATTTGTTGTTGAAAGTCAATAAATATGACTTGTGACTTGTAGATAAATTTCATTTGTGTGTTGCATTGCACATCAGTTGGCTGGATGACACGTGTTTTTGTGAAGGCTTACGCATTTTGGAACAAAACAGTCTTCCCAGGATTGTAAACAACGTATATAGCAGAACAGATTTAGTGGCATGCCTGCAGCCAATCATGTACAAAGTGTGGAGAATGTAAGAGTGCTGAAACTATTTCTGTGTGGTAAAATGAAAACAGGAACATACAGTCAGGGAGAAGTGATGAAATACTTAAAGTATCAGCACTTGAAAAGCATCCTCAAGCAAAATTGACAGCAGTAGTCAATAACCAGATAGATAATTGGCATTTAGCAGTTTGAGTGCAGTTACTCTGAGAACAAATGTCATACTACTGAAAAAGAAAAATGTTTTTAAAAGAGCGACCTTTTCATGAGCTCAGTAGGCAGAATTTCCAATCTCTGCTCACACAGCTTGTGTGGGAACAATCTCATTCATGCGTTGGACTGTTTACTCATACACAGATGTCTACAGAGTGATTATAAAGGGCATCATAATGACACCTGTTTGTTCAAGTCAATTCCAGTGAAAATTGCTTCCTCTTTGTGCCCTAGAAACATTCCTACATCTGAAATCCTCAGGGAAAATATCTGAAGTAATCCCCTTGTTTTTGTTAAATGCTCTCAATCCCACCTAAAGATCAGGTGCTAAATAGGGTGGAATTGTATTGCAACTGCTATTTGACAAATGACAGCTAACATAACAGCCGTGCTGGGTTAGAGTAGAGGTTTATCTGGCATTCTAACAATTTGTTGTTAAGTGACTTCTGTGTGAGAAGTACCATCTTCTTTAATAGTTGTCAAAGGATTTCTCTGCTGAGTTTATTCAGTATCCTCTTGAGTAAGTGTTAATTTTTAGCATCCACAACATCTTATGGTAAGGAATTTCACAGCTTTCATGTGTGAAGAACGACTTCTGTTTGTTTTCATTCTGCATCTGCTAGCTTTATTAGATGCCTTCTCATTCATCTGTTGGAAAATACAGTGAATAATTGATTCCTATTCTCATGCTCTGTGCCACTCAGAATGTTAAAGGCCTCTCTTATTTCTCCACTTTCCTTACACCATCTCTTTTCTAAGCTGTAGAGTCCTAACTTGTTGAAGTAATTCCTTCCACACAGTGCAACTGTAGAAATGCATGATGCTGCTGGTTGTCAAAGGTAGTCCTTGGTATCCTTCTCTGATGCTTTACCAGTTCTATTAGATTCCTTGTGAGGTAAGGTACTAGAATGGTAGTCAGCATTCAGTATGCAGGCAACAGCATGGAATTGTAAAGTGACGTGATTCCTATATTTTCTCTATTGCTTTCACAGTAATTCCCAAAATGTTGGTTTTGACCATTATTTAAAACTGAGCTGAAGTTTTCATGGATTTGTCTAGTATAACCTCAAGATTGTGAATGAAAACCGTCAGCTAGGAGTTCATCATTTTATGTATGTGGTTAGGATCATTTTTACAAGCTGTGATTTCCTTTGAATTTCATATGTTATTTAATGCTAATATTCATAAGGTTTTCTACTGTTCTTCACATCACCCTCATTTTCTACAGTCCAATAATTTAATATTCTGTCAGCAAACGTTTTTTACCTCCCTTTTTTAGAGTGTCTGTTAAGTATAATGAGTAGAATGAATGAAGTCCACTTCTAAGTGGAATATTATCTGTCACCTATAATTACCTTCTAGTGATATTCTCAAAAATATACTTTGTTTCTGCTTTTTGAGAAGGACCTGTGGTTCTGAATGACTGTGGAAATTAATACACCATTGTGGTCTGATGTTTCTTCGTATCTTTGGGTATGGGAAAAAGCAGTGTAGCTGATATCGATGATATCCCAAAGGGATATCCCAAGGGATGCGCCACTGATACCACTGATGTCTAATAGCACTTTTCCCTATTGGGTGTAACATGTGGTAGTGAAGATGGGAGACAACATCTCCTTAGTATCTCTCCCATGAAAAGACTTCAGTGCATACATTTGCTTACCAAGAAAGAGATTCACATTGATCTAACATTTTTAAAAAATAAGGTGTCCTGTAAAGTCATTGTCATTTGATTGTGCATTAACCACATGTTCAGAAAAGCCGTGGACTGAGTTCTCCATGTACTGTGTTTTGTTGTAGTATTGAATTTTCCTAATGATGTTTCAAATACAGGTTACAATAGTTAGATAATAATATTAATACTTATTAAACTCTTAAAAATACTGTAATAATTTCTGAAATGTATACCTGTGATGAATAGGACTAGCATGTATTCTATGTTTGTTTATTTTTGAATCATCAAAACTTGTTTTTTTCTTTTTTTCTGTTTTCTTTTAGGTATAGACAAATGCAGCTTGGCACAGAAAGCAAAGTAGCTGAACTTCTTCACCAAAGTAAGTTAAAGTCCTTTGAAAGTGAACATGTTCAACTCATGCAACAAGAAACAGCTAAGAATCTTTCACAGTGCCAAATGGAATGTGAAAAATATCAGAGAAAGTTGGAGGTATGTTATATAAAGAGACACTTTGCAGGGCATTACATAGTTGTTTTCAATTAGAATTTGAAATGGAAAAGTGTGGGGAAAAAGGTAGCAAAGAACATACATGGCTGAATTAGATTCCCCACCAAATTTTGCTGAAGCAGAATCTAATGACAAAGCTTATTAAGTTTGACCAGTTCAGTGGAAAACAAGACTTAGGGGAGAGGAAGAAGGCAAAACAATCTCTCACGGAGGGATGTTGAAGATAGTACCTCATTTATGTGAGGTATAGATATACTTGTATCACAAAGCTGTTTATGTCAGTCTGTGTGATTATTGTATGGAAACAAGACAGTTGTACTAGAACAGTTATGGTAAATTCACTATCGTTATGAAAAGCTAGGATTTGTAGTAGCATTGTTACGTAATAAAAATACCTTTTATTGATACATAATTCTGGAACAAATTTTTACAGCTAAAGAAGTCAAGGAGAGCATGGTGTATACAACATTGAAAAGACCTAGCATTGCTAATCCTGTCGTGGTGGGTTGACCTCGGCCAGTTGCCAGACACCTACCCAGATGCTCTCTCAATCCCCCTCCTCAAAAGGGCAGGGGGGTAAATAAGCTGAAAAAGCTCATCAGTTGATATAAAGATAGGGAGATCACTTACCAGATACCATCATGGGCAAAGCAGACTTGACCTGTGGAAAATTAATTTCACTTACTACCAATTGAAATAGATTTGGGTGGTGAGAAGCAAAGACAAAAACTAAAACATCTTTTCCCACCCCTTTCTCTTCTGGGTTTAACTTCCCTCCTTTATTTCTGACTCCTGTACCTCCCCCTCCCTGAAGAGCGCAGGGAGAGATGGGGAATGGGGGCTGAGGTCAGTCCATAACAGCTCCTCTCTCCTGCTCCTTCCTCCTCACGCTTTTACACTGCTCCAGTGTGGATCCTCCATGGGCTGCAGCTTCCTTCAGGAGAAAATCTGCTCCTACTTGGGCTCTCCACACATTACAGTTCCTTCAGGGCATGTCCACCTGCTCCAGCATGGAGTACTCTATGGGCTGCAGTGGTGGATATCTACTCTGGCATGGTCTTTCATGGTCTGCAGGAGGACAACCTGCTTCACCATGGTCTTCTCCATAGGCTGCAAGGGAATCTCTGCTCTGGTACCTGGAGCACCTCCTCCCCTCCTTCTCTCACCTTGGTGTCTGCACCAAGGCTGTTTCTCACACTTTTTTCCCTCACTCCTCACTGCCATGCAGCACTTTTGTCCTTTCTTAAATACATTTTCCTCGAGGTGCCACCGTGTTGGCTGCTGGGCTCAACTGTGCCCCGCTGTGGGTCTGTTTGAACCGGCTGTGTCCAGCACAGGGCAGCCCTGGCCTCTCCTCACAGAGGCCCAAGCAGCGCCCTGCTGCCAACACCTGGGCACCTGCACGCAATGCACCTATTTAGATAGACAGAGTTGAATGACTTGGACCTTTTTATCTCTACAAGCTTAGAAGTTATTATCTTTCAAACACATACTTTCCAAAATGTATCATATCCTTTTCACCTATTTTAGTATTGGTAAGGTGTCCAGTATTTAGCAGAGCAAACTTACTTTAAAACAAAATTTAGTCACTTACGCGAAGTTAATCCCAAAATCATATCACTGAGTTCAGTTTGTGAGATTTAAATGAGATTGGCAGTGTGTCTAAAACGAACGTCAGGATACAAACTGGACAGGACAGAATAAAAACCTTTTTTCCAAGTGCCAGCTATGGTAGCCTTCATTTTTTGGAGAACGATGCTGTTCTTCGAGTCCTTGCATTTCTAGTGCTGAACCTGCCTAGGGTGCTTATGAAAAGGAACTATAGAGTGGAAACAGAATTAGAGAGTTTTAGATAAAATGTAATTTCTTGTTTTTTCTGTATTGGGACATTCAGATCCTGGCTGATGAGATTAGTTGTGGTCACGTGCACTGGGAGTGCCAGTTTTGCTAGACTTTGACGTTGCTAAACAGATTTTTAATTGCACAGACATGTCTAAAATTTGTGAAGATAGTTAAATTTGAGTTATATTTCCTTTTTCTTTGTGGATATTTATTTGATCTGAATAACATCTTGAATATTTGGCATTCAGTTCTACTAACACTTTTGGCACTTCCTTTTCTCTTTAGGGAGACGCTTTGAAACCAGTGCTCTTTCATTAAGAAATGTTCTTGCAGAATTTAAATATTTGATGTCTGAAGCTTTTACTTTTGTTCCTTCTGACTGAATTCTTAATTTTTTAATTTCCTTTCTTAGATATAGTATCAATGTACTATGGGTTTTTTCTTACCCTTCTTATAGGATATTGATCTTAATTAATAGTGTAGTCATTAGTATCTTGCAGCTCAGCTACAGCTGCTTTGTTGACCAACTCTTTGTTTTTATTTGGATTTCAGAATAGAGTAGTTTCTCTTCTTCTGCATGCTAAAACTAGGAAACAGATGGTTTATATGTTGCCAGATTTTAACCTATACATTTATTCTTCTGTGACACTAGACCAATCTTTTTATATTCGAGTGGCTTGTTTCTCTGAGCATTGTGCATTCTTTAGTATTTTCGATAGTGAATCTGGTATTACTGCTGTATACTATGCATATATGTTTTTCTGTATCTCAAGATCTATATTCAGTTGTCATTTTGAATGTTTGAGATTTTTATTTGGGAAGTTAGTAATAAACTTAGCTACAGTACTACTTGGTTATTACTTTACCGGTTTTGGTAGGGGTTTTTCTGTGAAGCATGTAGATTACTACTTTACTTACCAAGGGTTTTTTTTTTTTTTATTCCATTTGGTTTTATAATATTTATGTTGTCAATATTGTTTTCTATTTTCAAGCACTATATCAAGCTTTAGTTCTTATATGGAACTTCGTAACTTTTTCTTTCGAATATGTGCTTTTTTGTTTAAGCTTAGTGGATTAAGTATTTACATTAGTCCTGAAGGTTAATGGCATGTTACCTTTCAGTAATAAGTAAATAATAAGAATCTGGTATATCTTAAATACCAAATTTTGATATTCGTGCATTTACCATTCTGTAAAGGAACCTTCTTTTTTTAAATTGATAACTGAAATCTGAATCCAACAAAAATAAATGCATTTACACTGTTTTGACTGCTGTGTATTAATTTTTTTAGCTGTTACTTTGCTTTTCCTAACTCTCCTTTAAAATTCTTGTAGCTTTTTCAGAGAAAGATTCTTAGAATTACTGAGGCCTTAGGAGGTAGGCATAAGTGATATGACCTGAGAGTTTAATCTGTGCAAGATAATACACTTGAAAAAATAACTGCTTTTAAAAGTATTTTAATCTTTCCTGTGTAAAAGTTAGATCAAATATTCAGTATCATACATTTTATATGTATTATATTTTGCCTCTTTCATAAATAGCTGTAATGCTGAATTCCTGATCTTTCCATTATTCATTCTCACAGGTGCTTACTAAGGAATTTTATAGTCTTCAGTCTTCTAGTGAAACACGCATTATTGAACTTCAAACACAGAATTCTGAGTTTCAAGCAAGGCTAGATACTTATGAAAAACTTGAAAAAGAGCTCGATGAGATAATATTGCAGACAGCAGAAAGTAAGTTCTGTCACAAATTATATTCTATCTGTAGGTGTTTCTGGCATTATGACAAGATGTCTTGTTTCTCATGGCACTTAGAAAGTATTACAGTGCCTGTCATTCTCCTTCCTTATGCCTGACAATTAAGATGCAGTAATTATTTTGATAGAAAATATTAATGACAGGTTTCTAAACGTATTTGTAAATATGTATCAAATAAACATGAACTTAGACATATGGATATTTAAAATCATCTCAGTGTTCCTTTTTCCCTCATTTCTCTCTTTCATATTCTAATCATCCATTATAATTAGATATGTTTTTTAGGATTCTCCTATTATTTAAGTATCTTTTGAATACCAGGGACCCCTCTTTGTTGGCAGACAATTATAGGTTTCATAATACAGTACAGTGATTAATGTGAATTTTTTAATGATTGGGGGGGGGAAGCTCTTCCTTGTGTTGAATTAATAATAATTAGACATTAAGTAGTTGCTTGTGGCAGATCAGTCTGTTCCAAGTACTAAACCCTGGATTAAATTCAGGCCTGATTACTCTTGAAAATTTTTGTCTCTGGTTGGCAAAAATAACAATACCTGTTTTCAAACACAGCAAAATTCCTGTGAAATCTCTCTTGATTTGATTCTCAGCCTAAATGAATCCACAAAGTAATTTCTAATTTGAAACTAAGACTCTAATCTTGAAGTCTTTTAGCCTGTGTATAAACAGAGTAGCACATTTTAAGATTTCAAACTAATTCATATATATTCTTGGCCTTTTCTCTTTCTTTGCTCCTCCAAAAAATAATCACAATTTATAAATAATGTTTTCCAGGTAGAAGATCATTGCATAAGTTTTATATATAAACAACAGTGTAGAGCAAAGTATGTATTACTGGGATGCAGTGATGTCAGGGTATCTTTAGTAATTTAACTGTACATACATACTTTATTAATTTTATGCACTGCAGCTTGTACTTGTTAGAATGGCATGACCACCCAAAGGTTCCAGTCTGACCATAAGCATGTTTGCTATATACATGCTTCTGTTTTAGTCAGTAACATGTTTTTTGAAGTGTGTGTGTGTGTGTGTGTGTATATATATATATATACATAAACTTGCCTAAGGAGTATTTATGTATTAATAAAGAATTTTTGGACCTTACCTTCATTTTTCCAAGGAGGAGGTAGAGTTCAGAATGCTGGTTTTTGTTCACACTGATTTACATTTTCTTATGCATCTTAGGACGGCAGTAAAGTTTTTTACAGAACTAAATAATTCTTAACTTCTTCTTAAATATGTATTTTAATTACAATTTATATTCTGTGCTACAGAATATGACTTAAAGAAATGAAAGTTTACAAATGGACTGTTCTGTTAAAATATAATGACTTTATTTTCTGATTTTGTTGGAGAGAAAAAAGGGAGTTATAGTTCAATATTATTTCAATATACTTTCTATTTAATAACTAACATTGTTTGGTTTTTCTTACTATTATTATAGTGTATTTGATATTGAAAGTTAGGATTAATACTAATTAAGACTGAATTCCAGCACCAAGGTGAACTTCTGAGGAAAATCAGCAGAAATAAAAGTATTTCTTTTTTAAAAACACCATACTTCCCTCTGTGTCTCAAATTATGTCCTGGTATTTACATGTCATAAATAGCTAAAAGTAGAAAAATAGTTGAAAGAAAGGAAATATAATTATTTTTCAAATTTAATGTGTTCTGGAAATACTCCAGTCTATCCTTCAGAGAACACAATTTGTGTGGAAGACAATTAGAATTTTCTATGGACATTAGTGAGAATAAGATTTTACTCTTCAGTCCTGTGGTCACTTCTGTCTATTTCAATATCATGTAATATTTTTTTTCTTATCCTTGAGTTATGAAGCCTCTGCTGTTTTACAGTATTTGGGGGTGCTGGTGGGCATTGGGTTCTCTGCACTTTTTAATAAACTGTGTATTTGCACATGTGAGATGGCTTTTGTCATATAATCGTGTAAGTTTTTGTTTTTTCCTTTGGAGAATGTGCATGTGGAAGAGATCACTGAATTGTGAGTGTTATTCCCTCATCATTATGCCTCAATTTATTAATATTGAAATAACATGAAACAGCCTATTCAGGAAACTATCAAGAATTTATGTAGCCACTCCTTACAGCATCTGAGTGGTTTCCACATGAATAACAATAGTAAACGTTCTTGGCATTTGTCTGTCCTTCCTTTTCAGGGTAAAATCTTCACTTTGGGATATTTTTGTTGTAGATTAGTTCTTTGATTTTTCTTGCTTCCATTGGTTGGTATCTTTTTAAGAAAAAAGTTGAACCTATCTGTATCCTCACGATGGCACTTTTTTTGCTAAGTAGTGTAAAAAACTCGTTAATAAGTGTCTCCTAATTTGTAAAACGTATATTTTATACCACAAAGTCAGGTGAAGAGCCTGGAAAGACAGAAAAGAAGATAAGAGAAGCACAAATTGATACTGAACATTACTTTGGCTTGATATCTACCACATGTACAATTTTTTTTGTGTTTGTCTTCACGATCTGACATTTATAAGGACAATACTGACAGGGCAAGATCTTACAGACATTTTTGTGAGACATACAACACTGAATTTGTAACCAAAAAGAAGGATTACGACAAAGGCAGGTTACATTATTTTTTATTTTTTTCTGAGCCAGAAGTATTTAAGGCACTGGAAAACTCGCCGTTATAACTAAGACAGCCTTGAAAGTCTGAAGTTCTGGTGCCTTTGTACTGCCATCTCAGTAAACGTTTTCTGTCATACTCACTGGAATTTCTGTATTGTTTTTCGTGTAACTAGATATGCGACTTATCACAAGTGCTCTACTAGAGGCTTTTCTCTTTCTCAATGTATTTTAAGAATCCTTGTTTAAAATAGCATTAAAAGGGTATTAGACAAGTGAGGAAAGAAGCTATAGCGTTGTGCAAGTTGTTGAGAGGAGAAGGTATTTCTGATTTTGAGCACTTGAGCATTAGGAAAGATGAGTCAGATAGGACTGTCACATCATTTGCTAAATTTGTTTCTCCTGTTCCCAACTACTTGATTCATCAAAGCTGTTGTGTGGTGCCTGGGCTGGTGTTCACTTGTGCTCCCTCTCTCTCTCACACCCCTGCTGCTCCCCCTTTCCCTTTGTCCCCCTTTTTCCCTCCTCTCTGTCTCCCTCTCTATGCCCCTGCCTACCTCCCACACACACACACTTTTTTTCTGTTTTTCTGTTTTTCTGTTTTTCTGTTTTTCTGTTTTTCTGTTTTTCTTTCCCCCCCCCCCCTCTTTTCCCTGGCCCACTTTATCTTACAGGAGAGAGGAAACCTGAATTACATGAGGTGAAATATTAAAATCTGTACATGTTTTAATCTTGCTGCTATTGGGATTTCTTTTCAAAGCAATACCAATGTGTTTTAAATCTTTAGAAATACGTTTTCAGAAATTAATCACCTATGGAGGCAGAGATTATTTTGAATATTTTTACTTTGCATAAACATAAGAATCTCCTTCTTGCCCTTCTCTGAAGATAGGTATGGCATGTATTTTCCTCAGGTTATCAGAGATTTCTGATCACCACAGTCTTTCAAAAATGATAGTGAGCAGCCTCACAGTGACATCAGCTCCCTCAGCAACCTTGGATATATCCCTTCTGGTCCTATGGACTTATGTCCAGTCGGCTTAAGCACTCCCTAATTTTATCTTCCTCTACTTCCTCATGTATGCACAGAAAATGAGTTACTTAGGAAAAAAAAAAACCTAAGCAACCTAACCCTGTACTGCTGAATTAAATTTACACTATTAGTGTATATTTGGTGACTACACCAATAAAATGAATATTCAAGGACACTGAACTCTTTTCCTTTACTTTCATATTACACAAGTCTTATGCTAATCAGAAAAATAAACAGTGAAAAGCCTGCCAGTGTTTTAAGAAATTAATGTACGGCACTGTATTAATGCTAATTGTGAATAAAATTGTTCCATTGAAGTCCGGAAGGTTACACCAACTGAAAATCTAGCTTCTAGGAAAATGTTTGTGCGTGTGTATAATTATAAATAGAATTGCTTAGAAGTTTGTAAGTTCTTGCACTGTAATTATGTTCTTCAACAGTACCTTTCTGCATTTTTTTGCAGTGGAAAATGAAGTTGAAGCTGAAAGGGTTCTCTTCTCCTATGGGTATGGTGCTAATGTTCCTACAACAGCCAAAAGACGACTAAAGCAAAGGTAAAAAAGTGCCTTCTGAATTTACCTGTTCAAGATAAAGTAAATGAAGATATGTGCATTATGTTTTGTCTTAGAATCCAGCCAGTTTGATTAACATAAAGTTTTTTTTTAATGACTTAAGTATACAGAAATAGAATGAAGACTAGGACCTGTTAATGTCGTTGATGCATATAAATGAGCATATACATATTTTTCTAGGTCATTTTAAGATGTTTTTTCCTTGCCTTTCAGAAAGATGCATTTTAATTGTATAAAACTAAACAGCTGTAAAAACAGACTAGTTACATTGTTTACATTTATATAATAGGAAAAAAGTTTTTAATACCCTAAAAATGATTGTATGTAATTGTAACAAAAACACATCTGTCAGGAAATTAAGAAGGCCAAGGTTTCAGAGCATCACTATTCCATCTTTACAAATACAGGATCTGATTCCTGTTATTTTTCTTGTTTGCTCTGATACCATTTGATCAATAGATAAAAATGATGTGTAGGCTGAATAACGTACCTCTTGATCATAGTCATTTTTAAATAATAAATTTATATTATCCATTGTCTTTAAGAAATAATAGTGACATTTGAATGGCTCATTGTGAGCATAAAGGCTACAACTCACTGTGAAGTATAGGGAATGTGGATTTATTTATAATATTTTTAAACTGTGACCACAGCAAAACTTTTCCTGTTGTTCAAAATATGTATAGATAGTATAAAAAGAAAACATAACCTAATAGTAGAATCATGGAGTAGTGGGATAATTTAGGTTGGAAGGAATATGTGGAGGTCAGCAAGGTCCAACACCATGCTCAGAGCAAATCCAATTGTTCAAGAGCTTGTCCAGCTAAGTTTTCATTTTCCCTATGGATAGAGATGCCACATCCTTCACAATATCAGGTCAGAGTAATTGTGGGTTTTTTTGCCCAGAATCCTGTCTCCAGCCTAGCAGAGGAGGCACCACAATTAGGATGGTCATTCTCCAAGAATTAGACTCATTCCTTGCACTTTGAGTGTGCCTACAATTTGCTCAAATGCAGGAAAGTCAACTGCGTAGTTCGTGTTAGTGGTAGACTTTCACCATGCTGTCTTCTACCAAAATGAGAAACTCCACCATCATTGGTAGACACACAAAGAAGAATATAATGACAGGGCAAACATGTACCATAGCTTCACAGTGTACATTTCTAGCATTCAGGAGCTGGAAGTGCAGTTTTTGTCATGTATAGCTGTTTTCTACTACAAATATTTGTTTAGTTGGTTTTGTCCTCTTAACCCCCACCTTCTCCATGACAAAGAATATTTAACATCGAAAGTTACTGATGAGAATTAAGGGCAAATGATGGTCTGTTCATGTTTGCAACAAAGATTTATGGGCCACATAGTATTTATTCTGTCTTTTATATTTGTTTTTTAAGTAAGAGTTGTCGATATGATTGTCAATCAGATTAGACCTGTTATGCACTGAGTTACGTATTGCTGACAGAAATCATAAAGATTTTATGTAGTACTTAACTTTGGCATGTCTTAATTTGCTCTTTCACGTTTTTAAGCCTCTTCAGATTGTTTCCTTCTAAGACTTCTTTTTATATTGCATACAATTCAAGAAGAAAAATAAAAGGGGGACGCATGCACACACAAAAAACTCCATAACCCTGTTGCATGTCTGTTTTAGGAGACTGTTGAGAGTTCTATAGCATCATTTCCTAAAGCTTCAGTTCCTTTGTCCTCTGTCGATAGTTTGGGAACTTTTCTGAGTTTCAGCTTAGATCCTTCTTTTTCCCCACCTTATTAGATTCAGTTTAGATTATTTACATATAAAGGAATTCTGCTAAATCACCTTTGAATGGTGAATCTGATGATCAATAAGCCAGGATTTCAGATGTGCTTAGAAGTAGCTCTATCAGAATGCCTCATATACTCCTCTTTTGTTTCAAAAGGCATTGGCAGATAAAGCTGATTTCATCCTTCATAATGGTGTTGGAGACTTCATAGACTTTCTTTATCTTTTAAAATTAAGAAGATTAAAACAGCCATAAAACTCTGTGTATGGTTTACCTGCTGCTGTTCTGACTCAAGGAAAACTGCCATGCAGAAAATGTGTGTGATGCCTTTGGCTCCCTAAGCTTTAGAGCAACATCTCTGTGATACCAACTTCTATGTTTAGAGCCATTAAAGAAACACAGATAAGTTTTCTGCTCTATGGGATTGCTTAAAGAAAGAGAATCTATTACAAATGTGAATAATCTTCTTTTTGGAGTCCGCTACCTGCTCTTTAATTCCAGACATATGGGATCCTAAATGAAGAGCTCTTATGCATGCACTTCAGTTTCTGAAACTTTATACAAAACCACCTACTCAAGCATAGTGCATTGTGGGGTCTATACCTCTTTGCCTACTTGCCAGAAACAACTATTTCATTACTTCGGACGTAGGCACCATACGCCCATACTAGTAAATTAAACATGCCTGGGAACATTCTGAAGCATCGAGACCAACTGGCATGTAGTAGCCCACTTCCATAAAACTAAGCTCTCAGTGTAGGTTAGCTGCATGTGAACTACGTATTGGCAATGATTGTTTGCCCATGCTAACTCTTCAGCTATGCCTGGGAACTCTTTGGGAGAGTGTTAATGAGTAAATGCCAGAATACTACCAAGAACACTCCAGTGGTTTGCTGACAATAACCTACCCCATTCTTGAGTACTGTGTAATTTTCTAATATAGTTGGAATCAAAGTTTTCCAGAGTAAGATGTCTTTGCAGATCAGTCCCTTTGTCCCTTTGCTTTAAATTTAAACTAGTCAAAAAAACATTGACAAGCATACTTGAAAGATGTACTTGTGTTTATCCTTAAATACTTGCAAATTCAGGTCAAGCTCACTGAGTAGTTGTAGCTGGGAAAATTATGATGGGCTACATTCCCAGAGTTTCCATGGGAAGGTATCCATGTTTGCCCTTGCACTCTAATAGCTAATGTATAAGATCCCTAAATAGAGATATCAGAGAAGTGGTTCATTTCTCTTTTGTACCAGATGAGATCTTAACACACATCTCATATCTCCTAAATATAAATCCAAATAAGTAGTTTGGAGAATTGATTTCTCTTTTTCTCAGTTATTGCTTACACGGTCTAATGCTCCTTGTAGGAGGAACTGAGAGAACCAGCCTCTTAGTGAATGCTGTTGAGAATTTCAGGTAATTCCTCTCATACAAGGCAAAAGTAAAATATTGTCTGTATGAAAGGGTAAGTTTATAACACAGGTGAAGAATATTAAGACTTATGCCAAAAATAAAAGCATATTCCCTTTTACTGAGGAGAAGGTGGAGGTTATGGTTCAAATTTTCAGAGAAAATGTATACACTCATCTAGCTTTGCATAGTCTAAGCCTCAGCTTAAGGGTAAATATAATCTCCCTGTCGGTCTGCTTTAGACCACTTACACTCTTACAGATTCAGTATCATGGTCAAGAACTGGATAACACTTTGCTATCCATTATTTGGAGACTAACAGTCTTACATTTCCAGTTTATGGATGGAAAACATTGAAAGTTTAAGATCTGAACTGGAGTGACTTCTTCCTTTCTTCAATGTACAAGTTTCTGAAAAATGGCACACATTTGACAGGAAGGACAGGTTGTTGTGGAGAGCCATTAGTCCAGTGGTTAAGGCACACTAAAAAAGGGTATTAGCCCTGTATATCTTCCTCATTTTTAGAGCTCTGAATTTCCTGTGTCATGTTGTGAAATAGATTGGTGACTAGAGTACCTAAACATGCAGGGGTACGGTGATAAATTCTCTAGATACAATTTTGATAATAAGCTACTAAGCTGCTGAATCCGACAAAGATGGCAGGATCCATTACAGGATACATAAATTTAGGCATCTAATCATAGCTTTAACACAGAGACTTCGCATCTAACCTCCCATTATAACCAGTTTAGTTCTAATCAATGGCATTTGGAGTACATTTCCGTTCACCATCCAGGAGTCCATTTTAGTGGAATATAGTCAGGCTCTACAGACTATATTGAATAGGACTAAATGATTAATAACAGCTTCAAAGACTAGGTTAGATGTCTGGTACTAGGCCCTGCAATTACATACTGAATCTTCCCATTGCTGCCTATGGAACTATGCTGTTGAACTGATGAGAAACTCTTTTGACTTTGGACATGAAACATGCAAGAGGTTGAGGGTCTAATTTTTTAACTAGGGTGTTTAAGTAACTCAATAATCCTTTCTCTTCACTTCTAAGTTAATCTGTGGATCTGCGTAAGAGTTTATTTTATAAAAAAGTCGCAATAACTTTTAATTATTTAGCATATTAAATGTCAGGCAAAACAATTTTGCCTCTGTTTTGAAAATGATATAATACTACATTTTTTAGTGTTCCACTACAAAATGTATATTAATGTGCACTTTTTTAAAAAATTATTTAAGGAGAAGCCAATTACAGTGATTCCCTAAAGTTGCTAAAAAGTAAATACTCATAATTAGTTAAAACATTTTGACATGATTACTGCAATTGTGTAGTATTGTACAAATTATATAGGTAATTGCTTTGTAAAAATATTACAATAGCATAACTGTGAGAATGCTATTTCAGTGCTGTTCAATTTTGTAATATTTTCATTGTTTTTCTAACTTTGACCATTCTGCATGGTTCACTATGTACTTTATACATATTAATATTTAAGCATTGGTGAAAAATTAAGGCAATCAAGTTCTGAAGTATAAATGTGAGAATTTCTTTTGCATATTTTGGAAAAAATTCAACTTGAGCTTGCTTTTTATTGGCACAGTGTTCACTTGGCAAGAAGGTTACTGCAGCTAGAAAAGCAAAACTCGTTGCTTGTAAAAGATCTGGAACATCAGAAGGAACAAGTCACACAGATTTCACAAGAGGTAAATTACTGCTACAAAAAAATCAAATCTGTAGAGGCTATAAACATTGCAGAACAGCTGTTCATAAAATGAAATATTTTCTAAACAGTGTTTATTATCTATTTGATGTCAAAAAATGGCCTCATGATTAACCAAAACTCTATGTTAAACGTTTTCATAGAAGTTTATATTGTATTTTGAAACGAAGATCAAAAGAGGGATTACTTTACAGGCTAAACAAGAACATAAGCCAGACAGACAATGTTCTGATTTCTGAACAGAACCCAGCTAGCCAAACTAGTTTGTTCTGTTTGATAGTTAATTGTTCAATGAATACCTTGTTACTTTTTACACAGCTCTTCTCTCAAATCACTTTTGAAGATAGTTCTGTAAATCCTTTTCTACATTGTTCAGTTTTAAAGTCTTTTGAATATACAAATCTAGGGAATGTTTAACATAAGCTGCTTTTTAAAAGAGCTAAAATTATTTTTTTTTCTACTTTATTACAATGAGTTTAATTTCATGATCTTTTAGAATTCTGTGTATAATACCTGAAATCATGTATTACATTGACATGGAGAACAAACACTAAACAAAACTCAGCTTGAAATCTTCCAGAATTAAGGCAAACTAATTTTTTGAAATCTTTTTAAAATTGTCTTCTAAGTTTCTCTTAGGAACCAAAGAACTTCTAGATTTGCGGTTAGATATTGCCACCATATGGAATTTTTAGGCTGATTGTTTCAAGAATATGGTTAACGGTTTGATTTTTAAAGCCATGGTAATTATAAATTAGGATAACTACACCTAGGTACTTCACAGTGCAAATACTTGCATTTTCTATGTTTGAAAATTACGTGAATTTTATGTATTTTATATGTATATATATATATGATTATATATAATTATTTCAGTGAACAGTACATGAACAGTGAAGTTTTTATACAGGTTTTTTTTAACCGATAGTACAATTTATTATGGATTCTTCTTAGGTATATCCTATTAATTTGTATTTGACTAAAATACCTTTCAAATCTTGTGTACGTGAAAACAAAGAGATTTGTGAAGCCAGTGTTATCCTTGATATTTTTCTCTATCACTATTCTTTTACTGTCATTAATAAAATCTATGCTTTATTTCCCACTTAAATCTGTCTGGTTTCCACTTCAATATATTTCTTCTTACCCACAGTAGTTTCATATTTGCTTCTAGATCACTGATGAAAGATTCAGTACCAGTGACCTTAGTTCAAATTCCTGCAAAATTCCACTGGAATTTTTATTCTCCCATGAGATATCAAGTAACCCTTTCTTGATCTTTTATCATGTAATTGTATAGTTTAAATCAGAACCTCATCCAGTGTGAAGTTAAATATCTTGCAGATAGCTAACACACAGCTACTAAGCCTATTAACATCAAACTCCTAAGGTTAAATAAAATCTTTTAATACCTGCTTTCTATTAAACTCATGTCTGGCATTCAGGTCTGAATGCTTCATCAGATTTCTTTCTCTCACCCCCCCTTTTTTTTTTAATTTTGTGTATGATTGTAGGCAATTTTGTTTGATAACAATTACTTAAGCCATTCTACTTGCTATCCTTCAATATGTGCACAAAGAGTTATTGTTATTAACATTATTATTAATTGTTATTAATGGACTGGAAAATAGTGCATCGTTCTCATGTTATACAAACTGATCATCTGACTTCTTTTCAAACAGAGGGCAAAAAATTTTATTGAAAACTTCTGTCTTTTCTTCAGCATTACATACAGTTTTACCGTCTCTCTGCCATGATGGGTTTTACTGTTTCTAGGATTTATTTGCTCCCACTTTTTTTTGTTCTAAGAGTCCTATGCCTGCTAGTATCAACTTTCCCCTTGAAGTTGTAGATCCTCTTGTAAATTTTCTGTATTTCGTATTTTATACTGATTGCTATCTATTACCTTTCTTTATAAAGTTCTTAAACTTGTTTGCTGTTTTTACTGCATCCCCTGAGCTAAGATAATTTTTATTTCAAGCTATCACCTGTCTTGATTTTTTTATTTATTTTTTTTAAAAGAGCAAAACAGAGATCCTGTAGACTACAGCATGCTCAGGTAGCCCATTATTATTCTTTTGATTGACATTTTGTTCAGTCATCTAGATGAAATCTAGAACATGGGTTGAAAGTTGATGCCAAAGTGATTGGACCAACTTTTCCTTTGAACTTGGATTAAATACTGGTATTTCACTGCAGTATTTATGATACAACATTTTTTTAAGCTCATTAAAGGAGGGAGGAAAAGAAAGACTGCAATAACTACAATGGATGCTCTTTCTAAGATTCTGGTTTTGGACTTTCCTCAACCAATTGCTGTTGAGCTTTATAGAAAGGAATCATATTGATCTCCTGGGAAAGTCCAGCATTACCAAGAAGAAAATACTGACTTCTCCATAATTTCATTCATTTGATGGAAGTCTGATACAATGTGCCTACTTGAAAGTTGGAACCCTATGGAAAAGCTCAGCTGCTGAAAAAAAATTGTCAGTCTTCAGTTAGTCCCATTATAGTTTGTCGGGTTTTATTTAACTGCAGGATCCTATCTATTTTCAGGTCTGTAATACAGCATTAGAAAAGAATTTTCCCTTAAAGTCCTCTTCCTGTTGCTTTGTATAGCAGTGACCTGCAATGTTAAAGTAGGTATTGAGACTTATTTCATACTACAGAAGGTTTGTTGACCATGTCTAGGACAAACAGAATAAAGGAAGTCTCATGACCTGATCAAAGAAAGATCCTCAGCTAGTGATAGTCAGTTTATTGCCTCTTCAACTCACTCCATGGTACTTTCAGTTTAAGTAAGTGGAAGGCTATATATCAGCTTCTGCAAAGTAGTGATCTGCAATTACTACATTTAGTGTCCAGTCTAAATTTTGGAATAAATTCAGTTTGCAGAGATTTTGAACAACAGTGCCAGAACTGATGCATAGACAGTCTCTTGTGTCTAGAAGGCTAATATGGTCTTTGGGTGATTTAAAAAGCAAATACTGAGTCAGTATACAGTAAAAGCGATATCCTAAACAAAGAAATTTACTGAGGTGATATATTTGGCTTGCTGCTGAATGACTTCTTCAAGCCTTCATCATGACGTTGTATTTGTGCTTTTTGTATGCCTCGACTGAAACATTTTTACCAAAAGCAGGTTTACATCTCATTCTCAGAGAGAGTATAGATCAAGCTGAACAATGAAGAAATCCTGCAGCTTGATAGAGATGTCCATTCAGGGATAAATAATAAATGTTCAATTGCAAGGTATTAGATTTATCATTTAAAAGAATGACAAATACTTAAGTAAATCTTGTACATTAAGGCAGAAAGAAATCAAAGTTGCTCACAAAAAATAATGCTCTTGCTCAAGGATAATGGTTAATTTATATACATGTGCGTATATTAGTAAAATTGATCCATTAAATGCATTTAATGCTTAATTGATTACAGTTTAAATGACAACTTCTTTTAAGTTTATAGAATCAAACAGGCAGCAAAGCACTACTGTGGAGAGGGAACGGATAGCCTTTTTTCATAACAGCAGCGTGCTTTTTAGCTGGTAAAGTTAGCAAGTTAACAGCTGACTTAGCTGACTTAGCAGCATCAAACCAAGCTTACAACACCTCACTTGCCCTTTCCCACTGAAGTACTTTAATTCTTATCAGTGAGAACAATGAGGATCTTCACACTGTGATGACAGCATCCTTTGAAGGTCCTTAGGCTATCAAGACCAGGATTCCAAACAAGATCAGTTGGATTAATTTTCTCCTATAATGGCATCCTCAAGGTTTTATGCTGCAATTTTTAGACCATTCTAGAGATGAGTAGTCCATGTCTTGGAATTACCTGTTTGTCATGTAAAGACTCTCTATTGTCTTCCTGAAAGAGATCTTTTTTGATAGCTTGTACTCTTAGAAAAAGAATAGCTTTTTAAATTGCTTATAAATTTATTGAAGATAATTAGTGTCTTCAAGATCATTGCCTCTTTTTCTTTACTTCTCTACAATAAATTTGGAATTTCACTGTGGACTAGAATAAGTATTTCCTGAAGGAACTAATGTGTTTAAAGAATACTTAAGGATTTTGCATTAATTTGAAGAAGTGTTATTGTCTCTCATTTCACTTTCTAAAATGTGGTGGAGTTAACTCCTCTTTTAGTAAGGCCAGTAAGGTGAGCAAGCAAAGTTTTTTCTATATGCTGTTTTTCAATAAATGTTATAATTAAAATTATAAGTTCTTTGCACATTTGACAGAGTATAGAGGGCAGAAGTAAAACTGCAATAAAAATATAATGGAATCGGAGAAAGAAGGAAACACAGTCTTATGTTTTGAAAATTGTGAATAGGAGAAAAATCTGATTTCAGGAAAGTCCTGAAATATTATTTAAATAGGCTAGGTCTATAGGAAGCGGGTTTTTTTTCCCCTGCTTGTTTGGAACAACATAAAATAGGACAACTGGCTCCTGAGTCTGATTTGGCAAATGCAGATTTTCAATCTATTCAGAAATTTTATAAACTAATTGGAAAGCTTAACCATTTTCCATTTAATTAATTCCATTAGACCTGTCTGTATCTAAACTTTAAAAGATTTCAATTTATTTTTTAAAGAATCTAGTTGGTATTCTTGACTTATATGTACTACAGCTGCTGAAACTGCTACATCTTGATGTGTGATCTTAATTCTGTACATATTTTAGTGAATGATCTTGTTATATTGCTCAAGATGGAAGCCATATCATGCAAGCTTTTTGACCTAGGGATCCTAATTTGTTCAGGGAATATGGCTAGAAAGGTTTATTTCCTACTTATGGTATGACGGTTATCTTATACTACTCTTGTAAACATCTTGTGGGATATCACTGTTCATATACAGTAATTGATTAGAGGAAAGGGGACTTTTCTTCCATTATTACTGTGGTTTTATTTAGATTCAATTTCTGAGCTGAAAATTCCATTGTTATAGTATGCTGTTTTAAAAAAGTCACTTGTGGTCAATAAGGTGAACAAACAGAGGCCTTGTCCATACTAATTTTTTTCATCAATTAAAGCTGTTACATTACAACTCTTGAAACTGCAGATTAGGGAGGTGTAGAGGTGATGTAGCATGATTGCAGTGAAAATATACAATTAGAACAGAAAAGTGATAGGATAATGTACTAGATAGTAATTCGAGAGTAGTTTGTTTCTTTTTTTTCTGAAATAACACATTTGGGTTTTATATTATTATGCAATTGGTAATAAACAATAATATCCAATAATTCAATAATAATCAAGTAATTGTGCTTTATAAATTATAAAATTTATAATAGTAAAACTTCTTTTTTTGGCAGCTTCACAGAGCAAATTCTTTGTTGAGTCAAGTACAACAGCCATACAAATACCTCATTGAAACCGTGCAACAGAGAGATTCTCAAATAAGTCTACAGAAAGAAAATATTACACAACTTGAAAAAGATATCAGGTAATTAAAATCACTGTTTCTTTATTTTAAACTGAAAGTAAAATCACTTATGTGTTTATCATTATTAAACAATTATGTTATTGGCCATAAAGTAGGAGATGCTGACACTCCATCATTGACTAAGTCCAGTCTTTATGCTGGAGCTCTAGCATCTGTGATTTCTCTCGTACTGTCAGAAAAAGAAACTTTAGGTTTGGAAAAGCAGCAATGACAGTCAGGTTTAAAGGGAGTTTGGAGTTAAGAAGAGCTCTTATGAAGTAAAGGAAAGTTCAGAAGAGTAAAAGGAAAGAATGACACACCAGATGTACAAAAGTAAAAATAAAGAAATAAGAGTCAGAGAAAAATAATAGACTAGTCCACCAGCAAAGAGTATTTCGGGCATAACTCAAGCAGACTTCCTCTAGCGGAGACTCTCTGGTTTGCTGTTATATCCAGCTGTCAGAACTCTCTGACCACTGAGCAACTTCCCACCATCATATAGCTTTATAAACTATGTTTAACATCTGGTTTCCAAGTAAGCTCTTATAGAATAATCTGCCCCTTGCTTTTCAGGGAAGTGGATAGCTGTGTGCCACTGCACTACAGAGGAATTCGCATTTTAACTATTAGGTGTTTATGTGGTATCTTGGTTTAGGAAACACATATGGTAACAATTATGAAGCATTAATGTGATTGTATTATCAAGCAATTACATGAAAAATACAGGTTTTTTTCCAACAAGTCTGTTGAAGCAATGAAAATAGAAAAAGTAGGACTCACCATAGCTAAATAGTTTATCCTACGTGCTGTCTTACATATGTATCTATTCAGTGTTTTGATGGCTTGTGATAGTATTTGTTATGCCTTGAGGAATACCTAAAAATGCTTATTATCCAAGTAAATCTATACATAAATCAATACATTTATAAGTAAACTGAAATATTCATTCATGCTTCCTGACAAGATCTCTTTCACTGGGCTTAACTTTGATTCAGTAAGAATAGGTCTTTTTTTATTCCAGAATCAAGTGTTTTTAATATTTTCCTAGAGTTGATATATTATAAGAAAAACTTCAAAGGTAAATTCTATTTTTCCAGGAGATGAAAAATCACAATGTTCTCTATATATGCAGGATCTTACTTTTCAGTTGTGAATAAAATCATCAAAGAATTGGTCAGTAGCAAATTAAATTTTCAGATTACAGTAACATGAAAATGTCTTTCATTATTCACATAGTTGTCCAAAAGTCTCTCGAAAGCTAGGGAAAAAAGGGAGTAGATAGGTGAGGTCATTTCTGAAAGCATATGTCACATTAAAATATATAAGAACTTAAATGCATTATTAACATAGATTCTCTTGAGTTTTTATGGCTCATTACAAATAATCTGTATGCCCAGATATTCTTCCTAAATTTAGCCTACAAATTAAGGCACCTAAATTAGGAACTTAGTCATGTCAGCTTTCCTTAGTAGTTCATGGAGGAAGTGGCATCTCCAAAAAGCAATTCAGATTTTGGATGGAGTGAGTCATTTCCTAGAGATGCGTGTTACTCTCTATTAACTATAAAGGGAATTTTTGGCATCTTAAAGTGCCTGAGGTTAAGGAAGAAAATGGATCCGCACCACAGGGCCAGCATTCATGGTAAACACACCAGCAGTACTCTACTGTGGTGAGCTGGGGTGTGCTCACCACTAGTCCATGTTTGTGTAAATGAAAGTGTGGTCTCACAAAAAAATATTTTTATCCTTCATGGTTTTGTAGCAAAAAAGTAACACTTACCAAAACATTTGATGTGCAAAGTAAGAAGTTTTTTCCTGTAGTTTCCAATATTTTTTGTAAACTAAAAATAACTATTACTCCCTTATCACAGTTTTGCGTCGACTTTGCCATAGTTTCATAGGCCAGTGAAATTCTTGGAAACAGCCTAATGTATTAGGGCTTTTGGTACATATTAGTAGTCTCTAATTTTGCTATTCATAACTCCACATTTAAAACAAATGTCCTAAATTGTTAGCTGATATTCCCTGGAGCACAGGAGAAATCATAATCTCGTATAAAATTGATAATGATGGTCCTTTGCTTTCCCATAAATGAGAAGAAGGTTAGAGGAAGGGATTTCTAACCAGAGAACCATTACATTCCAGCAATCTTTTGTCATGAGGATAGCCTTTTGGAATCTGTTGACAGTTTTAAATTAAAATATCCTTTAGATGATTTCAGATTACTTTGTGGACCAGTCTAGCTCCCAGCTATTCCAGAACTGAATCAGAATGGGTTTTAAGTAAATTAATGATAATCCCTACCAAATATACGCTAAGAGAAGCTCTGCTGGATCAAAAGATTTAGACCACTATTTCCATCCGTCTTTCTTAGTTTATTAAACAGCATTTTGTTGGTTTGTGTGTGGAATATTTTTAAGAGGATGAGTTCAGAGAATTAGTGCTCCTCAAGGAGGGCCCTAAATTCTGCAGATAATGTTGGTGCTATTAGAAAAGTAATAGTGAAAACACTAAACGTGGTTTATGAAGCCTGGTTTCTCTGTATCTCAGAACTAAGGGAAAAATTTAATATTTGAAAAGCCATTTCAAAATTAAATATTTTTTTCAACCATTACCTATAATTAATAGTTGTGCAGCAACCTTTTTAAGTTGAGGTTTAATTTATGCTACAGTTACACAAAGTACATTATTTTTTAAAATTTTATGTACAATAGATGCATTAGTTTTATTTCTAGAAAGCAATTACACAAGTACCAGCTAACAGAAAAATAATGTTCGAATTTTTGTTTTCAGACAGACCTTTAAAAATAGTAGTGATTTTTTTGAATATTTTTTTTTTAAATCTCATCTTTGAGTACCAGATTGTAGACAAATTAACATAATGTTGATATGCCTGGACCCTGACAATCAAGACTGAATATTTAGTTTTATCCTCACAGCTACCCTATGCTTGATCATGCTTTTCCTTCCTTCATGTTTAGGGCGCAGAATCTATAGCGGAGGAGTGTTCTTGTTCTTTTCGTGGTGTGTTTTTGTCTCATCTGCTCATCAAGAGAGAGATGGTTCTGCATTATGTAAATCATGGATTCCCTAAGTAGAGCAGTCACATCTGTGTTATCAATGCCAGTGTTCTCTGTCACCTCTCACTTAACTTGAGTGTGGAGGGATCAGCAAGGACTAATTTGCAAGTGAATTTACTTTTTTAGACTTAATCCATAATTGGCTTCTGTGCACAGTGATTATGGCCAATAATCTTTTTAGTAAGTACTCCCAGGGTAGTTAGGTTCCAGCAGATTTCCCAGGGTAATGAGTCAGTACTTTCTTGCAACCTTATAAATGTTTCGCAGCAACCTGCAGTGCTTTGTATTTCCTTGTCTATTGAGAAGGCTGTTGGTTGCTATTGGATGTGGTTTTGATTCTGTGATGAAATAGACAGTCTTGATGAAATCAGCACAAGAGGAAGGCAACTATGAGGAAGACTGACTATGACAGCAATCTCCTTAGTTTGGGCTGTGGGTGTTCTTGTGCCATATTTTTACCGATTTTTTGCAATATGGCCTAAAGTGACTTATAATGTGGTCCCTTGACAGGCAACAGATGTGTGCAGGATTCTCCACGCTGCATCATTCTATGAAAGTGTCAGTTCTGACAGTAGTTATCTCCACAAGAGGAGTGGGACAGATTCAGGCAGATCATTTTGATATAATACTTTTGAGAAGTCCTGCAGATCCATCTAAGTTTCCTTCCAATGTGGTCTTCAAAGTTCACTTTAACCAGAGCAGCTTACATGCCTTCATCCTTAAGTGTCATACCTCTAGAGCTAAGGCTGTCTTTCAGACCCTTTGTATCAAAATGTCTTCCTCACTTGGAAAGACTATTCAAAGAGCACTCAAGGTTGCTTGTGTCAATAGCTGTCAAACTGAATCATTGAATTGTTGAATGGTTTGGGTTGGGAGGGACCTTTAAAGATCATCTAGTTCCAAGCCCCTGCCATAGTTAAGGACATCTTCCACTAGATTAGGTTGCTCAAAGCCCCATACAACCTCTCCTTGAAAGGAGAGGAATAGTCAAAATAGGTACCAGACTGAATCAAGTCCTTTAAAGTAGTATATTCCACCAGAGCTGCAGCTACTTTGATGGCTTGCTGAGAAGTGTGTCTGTTCTGGACACCTTTCACAGAGCTGTCTGCATCTTTAGCCATACCTTCACTAAGAACTGCAAGAGCTATTGTGGTTGGGGTAAATGCTTAGCTGAGCAGCTGTCATTGCTGTTAGTTATTTGCATGAACAACTTAGGGACCCATCTCCATCTTGCACTCAAAGATAAAAGGAGAGGTTGTTTAGGGGTAATCGAAGCTCTGTCAGATGTTGCCCACACGTATGCTCACTGCCACTCTCCTTTCCATCCTCTTAAGAGTTCTCCCAGGCAGGCCACAGGCTGGGCTGGCACTTGGCCATGGAGAGAACCGAGGTGGCCCTGGGAGCAAGAACACCTCGTGTGCTTGTGCACTAAGCCATGCACCTGCAGATACGCTTCGGATACAAAGCCTCTGGTCTGAGTGACAGGGCGTCTGCGGGGTGAATTTATAGGTGGTCCGCATATCTCAAAACATTCTGTTAAGTAACCTCTCATTTATTTTAGTCCACATAGCACTCTAGTTAATAAAAGTAAATAGCGATGGTTAATAAGAGCAATGGTATGTATGAGGATGACTCCTTCCTACTATAAAGAAATCTCTCTAGCATACAGTTCTTAAACCAGAAATGAAAACATCACATTTAGCACTCCTTTTGAAAAGAAATGCTGTGTAACTATGTCATGCTGTGGGAAAACAAATCTCTGGATTTCATTCTTATGTGTGTAGTGAAGTAATTGTAGTTTAAGTACATAATTTTCTGCTAAAAACATCTAGGTTTATAAATAACTGGAGACATTAAACAGGACTTTATTCATAAAGAGAGGGTATTTATTTTAAATGCAGTTACTCAAATTTCTCAGTACCAATGGCTGGTTTTAAAAGTGGTTCACTTACCCAAAAGCACTCAAAAGCCTAACTGTGCGGCAAATCTAGAAGCAGTACAAGGATTTTGCTCACTAAGAAGCTATGTACTGAAATGTTCCTTACCTAAACATTTTGGGTTCTCTAATTGCCGTCCAAGCATTATAAAGCTCAGCATACAGTGTTACCTGAGTTTTTCCCATCACAGAAGGGGCAATGAACTTTTTATGAGAACATTACTATTCTGTGAAATATGCATCATCTATTCCAACACTACTACAGTTCACCTGAGAAGTGCTTCAAACAAAATTTGTAGAAATATATTTCTTTTTTTTCTACAAATGAATGTTTTCTGACCCGTATTACAACTTTTTAAAAGTTGTTTGGGTTTTTTTTTTTTACAATTTGAAAAAGTAATTTCTTTTAAATTTGGACACTACATGGATGAGTTTTTAAGCCACCTGAAGCACTCCCAATTAAAATCATTAAGCAATACTCTCCTAAATGCCTTTAAAAATCTGATCTGTGGTTATTTAGCCGCACAATGAGAGATCACAAATCTTTCATGTATTCTCTCTTCTAAAGAACTTTTACTTGAAGGATTTTTTTATACCTCCCTCTCTAACTACATGACTTAAAAAGAAAATTTGACTTAGACTTTAAAAATTAGCTGTCTGCTCTGAGCTATTCATGTGTAATTTGCAGAGATGGGATAGCTGTACTATATGCCTATATTATATATTCACTTTTATGTACAAAACCTTCACCTATAGTATTTCTATGTTTGATTTTTTTGATGGTAATATTTGTATATAAACATAAAATGCAAAAAAATAACTCAAGATTGGACTTCAGTTTTCAACTTCATCATGCTGTAATGTGAAACTAACAGAAAGGCACAATCCTTATTTCTTATAGCATTTGGGGTGCATAGTTCACTGAAAAATAAACCTACTTTTTTTCAAACTGAATAGAAGTAATAATAAAAACAAGTAATATATAAAACCATGTTTATTTAGTGTGTCCAGCATAAGTATATTATCCAGAACATCTAATAATAGAAGCTTCTGAACAGGATAGTAGCTAGTATATTTAGACCAGAGATTTAAAAGATGCTTTAGTTGCCCAAACTCAAAAGGCTTTAAAAGTCTGAGACTGGGAAATGTTAGTCTCCATTCTCCAGAAAAATCAAGTCACCTAAAAATGTCTTACTTATGATATCCAAGCTACCTTGGCTTTAGATCCTGAGTAAAGCAAAACAAAACAAGCCAGTGGTTGCTATGAGCAATGTGTATGAATATGACAAGTGTATTCCATGGTAAGTCCTGCATTCCTGGTACCTGGATTCAAACATGGGTAGGTTTTGAAAACATGATGGAATGAAACTGAATCCCCTCATCCCCTCCCAGACATTTTGCTTTCTTCTGGAAACCCAGGCACACAGAAAAAGCAGGAGCTGCACTGCTTTTCAGTTAATTCTCCAACCTGGACTTGTGGGACCACAGTTACATGATGTATCACAAAGGGCACCTTCTCCACACTCAGGATGGAGGAGTCAGTGACCAGGACTGTGGAGCACAGCATGGTCTACACTTGCCCTGCAGTGTAAAAAAAAGCCATTTGTTCTGTTAAATAATTGCAGGGATATTAGATCATTTCAACACAGTCCATTTCTCCAAAGTGTTCACGTTTTCACCCCAGAAGAAGTCATTGGAAGATTTCTTTTAATGTTTAGTACTTTTATACATGTCTGTATCATGAAGATGTTAAAGTATGGTTAAAGATGGTCAAGAAGATCCTGTCTCTTCAGATGGAAGTTATAACCCTTGAGCTCAGGTGTGAGAAACTGGTTTGTCTAGTCTCACAGATTGTGGTTTCAGAATCATGGTAAGACAGTTAAGGCACTCCATCACCAAATGGAGCAGTCTCATCCTTACCCTCAGCTGTGGGTTTCCACTGTACATGGTAAATCAAGTTGTTTTGGTGATCCATGTGAAAAATAACCTTTAAAAAGACTCCAGCTTCCATCCAGATCAGTGAAGTGACCTATGCACCTGGTCACACATTTTCTAGTACCAACACAAAGAGCGGGTTACCAGTATGTGGTTAGGGAATGATGATCTTCCAGCAACAGTTTTCACTTAGGTCAGCTGAAGTGAACTGTAAAGCTGCTCTCTGATTTGTTACACTGCCAGTTAAAACTGGATTTGTTTAAACTACTGTCTGATGGAAGTGCAGGGTAGTTTCAAGCTAGAACCTCCTTGACTGCTGATATCCAGGATGTCCATTCAGAACGTTTCCATAGCAGGGGCTGAAATGGTCAGTCTTCCTCCCAGAATTGAACTTTTGAAGGAATTTCTGCTCTACTTGGTCATTACAGGTGTGAATTTATTAACGTTGTGTCTGGTAATGCTGCTTTCTTGCTCTGTTAAATGTATATATGCCTCTTTTGCAGTGTTCTTTCAGAAGTATATGAATTATTTCCTTCTATCTGCAGTGATGAAAAAGCATAACTATTGCAAAACTACTAAATCTGTGGTCTGCATGTGCTTTGATACTTGTATATTCATATGTATGACAGAAAACACATCAAGTGCTACTGAATTACGTAGCAGTCTAATTCCTGTATTTGACCACAAAGAAAATGAGAACTGCTCCACATGGATCGGTCATGTTATATGGTTTCAGAAGGTGTAACTAGTATAACAAGAATAGGTTCTCTTCTGTAGATGAAACTGGACCTTGAACATGAACTTCTCATTTAGTCATGAACACTGATGTTTATGCTTTTTCAGTACACTATTTAAGGCATAAAGGAACTTTCATTATTGCTTCTCTAAGAAGTCTGTGAGTCGTTCTCTAAATGGATTGGTTTATGCTGTTAGGAAGTACAGAAATCCAAGAAAGCCTGATATATCAGTAAGTTATAACACATGAACCCAGGAAAAAAATAGTACAACAATTTCATCATGATTAAAAATGTCACAGGAAAAACTCTTGAAAATACTAAAATATCTTTGTAGTTTTTCATAAATGTTATTACTTTCCTTTTAAAAAACTCAGACAACTAAGCAATTTGGCTAAAGCATACAATTTTTCTGAGAATTAATGAATGCCTAGAAGGAATTGACAGTCATAATTTACAGTACAGAGCTTGCAAGGAACTGCCAGAAAATCTCTGGGGCAAAGGACAATGTTGCTTATTTGAAATCAGCAGATGATACACAGCCAATTAAAGAAAAGGATGATTTATTTTGTTGATCATTTCTGGATCAAATACTCGGAATATTAAATAATTTGTGTTTCCAACATATGTAATTGCTCCATTCCATTAATAAATTTTTAATACATTTGGTTTTGAACTCCTGACCTGTATTCAGTACTACATATTTGCACTCCATATACAGAATTGCATTTTGCATAGTTGTTGATTTATGTTACAATTTATATTGTACACCCTATTTAGTTAAGTCATGATAATGGCATATATAACATTGGTCTTCCAAGAAAATCTCTGTGGCTATTTTAACAAACTAGATTATATACTGGCATTATGTATGCATTAGTCTGAAGTTTATTGTTGGAAACTGATGTTGGGGCTAAATATGAAAATATGTTTAATTATATTAGAATTGCTGCCTAGAATCAGAATGTGTATGCTAAACATGTCAAATGTTCATATTCTATAACTAAGAAAACAAAGAACAATTAAAGTTAAACTTGACACTGTGCTATAAAAGCATGCCTTCATGCTAAAACAGTTTTCATACTCAGTTCACAAGACAAACTTGATCCCATGCATTCTCCTGAAATATAAAATAAAAAATGGCAAAAATACATTTACAATTTCTGCAGAAACTACACAGCTAAAAGAGAGAGCTGGATGTTTTTCTTCCTTCTATTTGTTATTTTCTAAATACAGTAGAATTTGTTGAATTCTAAATACAGTAGTATCAAAAGAAGTGATACAGAGAGAACAGTGTGTGCTGCTACTAGTGATGCATACAACAAAGCAATCCAAATTTTGATATAGCAGTGTAGATATAAGGAGCCTTACCTTGCTTATAAATGAGCTCATTTTGCCTAGAAGAAACCAAGAGATAATAACAGAAGATTGTGGTAATTTAAATTACCCTTCAGAGAATCAAAAAAACCCTCATATTTTACGAAGATTTTGAATAGTATTTCTGTTTGACTAAAATAAGATTTCGTATGTATCAGTGCATTCAGGCCCATTTATAAAAATTCCAATGCCTGAACATAAAGAAGGATCATTTGATACAATTACTTGAGCAGATTTTCATTGTTGCCAGTATTTAGCTTTAGAAAATGCATGTTTCAGGCAGAATATAAGATTAAAAGAGATTATCTGTTGCTATTACTGTGTTTCCTATCCTCTTTCTACCAGTCTTTTAAATAAAGAAAAGACAGCTTTGCTGCGTGTCAAGAACCAAATGGCAGCAGATTTGGAGAGACTCCTAAATCACCGTGAGGTAATCTTCCTGTTTTAGCATTACTACCATAAGTGCATTTTTTGTCTCCTCAGCCTTAAACCATGGGGAAAAAATTGGTTTACTTTGGTTTGATTTGTTGGGGTTTTTTTGTCTGTGTCGTTTTCAGAAACACAGGTGAGCATGTCTGTCAGGCACCCAGGAGGCTCTCAGTTGCTAAATTCTCTCTGTTGACTTAGTCTCACTGTTCTTTCTTTTATTATGCATACAACAGACATGCCTGGCAAAGTGTTTAGCGTTTGCAAGCATTTAACAAATATTTAGGTAAAGGTGATAAACTTGGTACCCATGCACATGCAGGCCTTGCAGATTACCACAGTATGCCCCAGGATCTCTCCCTGCTCCACAGTCATCCAGACCAAAAGCCTGGACAAAATATTATCCAATTAATTTCCAGTACACACATCTGAGTTTCTTTTCACCTCCAAAATAGGATTTGGGGAGAGGAAACAGGACGGTAGTCACCCAGGTTTCCTCCAGACAAGAGTCAGGGTACTTCTGAAATACACTGTCAGATCTAAAAGTATGCAAAACGTTGTAGTTTAGATGTAAATGCACTATGTGGGGATTCCCAAAAGGCTTTTGTCAAGATTTCTCTCTAAACAATCTTAAGAGACTAACATGTCATAGAACATGAGAGAAATTCTTTCTGCAGATTAAATGTCTGAAACAAAGGATGGAAATAAATGAAGTTTACCAAAGGAATCTCATGCACAAAAGATCTGAAAAAGGGTGAATAGTAATATAGAAAGTTTGCTGAAGCTACAGAACATTGAAGATATAAAACCAAAGGCTGGCCATGAGCAGTAGTTAAATGATCTTCCAGAGTTCCTGAATGATTTGGCAAGGATTTGCAGAGAAAATAAAACATTAATGAATCAAAAAATTATGAATGTGAGGAGAAACAACAAAAAAGATGTGGACAGGCTGGAGGGGGTCCAGAGATGGGGCCACCAAGATGATCAAGGGTCTGGGAAGCCTGCCATATGAGGACAGGCTGAGAGAACTGGGCTTGTTCAGCCTTGAGAAAAGGAGGCTTAGAGGTGGTCTCATCACCATGTACCAGTACTTAAAGGTGAGCTACAAAGAAGATGGAGACTCCCTTTTTACAAGGAGTCACATGGTGAGGACTAGGGGTAATGGGTACAAGTTACTCCTAGGGAGATTCCTATTGGACACGAGAGGTAAATTTTTCACAATGAGAACAGTCAATCATTGGAATAATCTCCCCAGGGAAGTGGTTGACTCCATTACGCTGAACACGTTTAAGACTCAGCTGGACATGGTGCTGGGCCATCTCATCTAGACTGTGCAAATTCTTGCCTAGAAAGGTTGGACCAGATGATCCTTGAGGTCCCTTCCAACCTGGTATTCTATGATTCTGTGAAGTTATATGTATAAAGTAATGGGACCTAAATAACCTGTTACCTGTTCAGGAAGAACATCATAGAGTCATTATATCAATACTTCTACCTTTGCAATTCTCTGACTGGGAAGAGAGGAGAAGATGGGGATATTCCTTTCAAGGAATGTGCAACTCCCCTAAATTATCCTGAGATTGCATTATCACTCATTCTAATACCATTATTTCCATAGAAAACGGACTATCCATGCACCTCTTGAAGTCCTTTCCAAAATTGTTCTTCTCCATCTCCTTTCCTTGCTATTCCCCCAAATTCCCTTCTTAGATCAGTAAGCCAAACCCCATGTTGTGAATTGGTCCAAACCTGTTTGTCTCTGCTGACCAGTTACAAAACCATTTTTTGTTAGAACTGAACCAAAACTATTTTACTGACAGCTGAGTCTAAATGAGCCTCAACTTAAGTGAAAACTGTACTAATTCTATTCCCTGAGCACAAATCTCAAATGTGAAACAATGACCTTAAATAAAAGTAAAAACAGTTCTTAAGTTGTTTACTTTCTATGCTGAATCGCACTGCGTGTTTGTCTGATGCAGTTTCCCCCTAGAATAGTTCTTGCATTTAACTCTCTGAATTGATTGTAGTGGTTGTGAAGTTTCATGCATAGAGATTAAAATAGTCTCATTACAGAAAAGAGCAATTGAACATGCTTCCCCACACTGCAGGTGTCATTGACCTGGCGGGATCATCTGTGGGTGCATCAGAAGTAATCATTCAATAGCTCTTATTTCAGATGTCTGTATCCACACCATACATTTAAATTTCAAATTCAAGACTGAGACTAAGGCAAATGTTCAGTTTGGGTGATATTTGAGTTTGCTTTTTTCTTTTTTTTTGTGGTGATTTTTTGTTTATCTGAAACCCACTGCTCTCTATTAATGTAACAGAAAACATGTAAAGCATTTCTAAATAATTTATAAGCCTTACCATTACATCGATGCATTATCATATCATTATATTAATGATATGAAAAATATTCTGAGGAAACATGACTTAATTGTATAAACATGTAGTGAATTTTCTGAATTTCCAATATGATGTGCCCTTGGCAGGCTAATTTCAAATTAATTTATTTCAAAATTTCCTGTTCCTACTTCTCTCCCAAGTAGTGCTGCTCCCAAGTAGTTGTGCTCTCAAGTAGTTATGCCTTGGATGCCTAGTTTTAGTAGTGTCGTATCAACCAACATGCATTGCAGCAGATTAAAATCTGTGATAAAGGTAAAATTTAACAATGTTTTGTAAGAAAACGATAACATTTCTACTCAAAGCTATGTGACGTTGTTTACATCCGAACAATGTTAGCCCCTATGACTACCCACATAAACTATTCCTGATATGCAGCAGTTTGCTTCTTTATGTCATTTCACCACTTAAAATTTTCAAACTGTGGCCACAATGCAAGCAAGACTGAGTGAGGCAGGCTTTATAAAAAAGAAAGTTTTCATAAGCTTTGAGTCTGAAACAGACTTCATCTTGAATGTACCTCATACCCTGGATGTTAAGAAATTGAGCAAATATTTCCAAAATTATTACAGTTTTGTCAAATTTCTTTTTGTATCTGTTAAAAATAGGCCGTATTAGTCATATTGTTTTACCTACCAGTGATAATGTCTTTTCAAGACACCTATGCACATAAGGATATAAATACTGAAAAAAAAAAAACATAAGAAGTTGCATGTTTGGGGGAAGAAAATTATTAAATGCCAGTACAAGGCACAAAAAAACCCTAAGAAATACAAAAATAAGCTGAAGTTGTTTTAGGAAAATGTGTGAAAATAACAAGTGTGTGTATGTTTAACTTTTGTCGTTTCTGTTTATTCCTAATGCAGCCTTTTATTTTTTACTTTTAATGCAGACCTCTTCCAGCAGTTTCACAGTTTATGAATTTCTCTAAAAGGCAATTACTTCATGTATTGAAATCTTTCAATAGGATAGAACAACTTAGTCTAGAGTGAATTAGTCTTCAAGTAATTTTTTTTTTTTTTTGCTATCTTAATAAAAAAGTTAAATATGCAGAACATCACAATTTCACAGTAAATATCCCCGGTAATAGAAGAAGACAATCAAAATTTTCTAATCTTGGGCTAATAAAGATTTGACTTCATTTAGACAAGGTATGTGTTTTTAAATAGAAGTAACATGCAATCTGTAAATATAGATATATGCAATTTGAAAAAAAGGAATTACGGTTTTACGTGTTCTGTACATGCTATCACGTAATATGATTACTATCAGTCCTTAGTCATTGCACATACTAAACTGTCATGTCTTGTTAGGAATTACCTTGTTGCCCTCCTGTTTGCAAGTAAAACCATTAGAATTCTTGAACATATAAACCCAAGATATTCATAGTTAACATAAGCTGAAGTTTAGGTAAGTTAAAAGTACAAGCAAAATGCCAAAACAATGTTAATGCTGTCTTACAGCGACACGTTTCAGTAAGTATACAGTTTTGACTTAGGTATTCCAGCCTGCGTGGTCTCAGACTGTATTAACTCTTTTTATTTAATGAAATGTTAGAGTTTGAAGGGTTGTGGGGTTTTTTTACTTTTATCTGCTCGTGATATCAGCTGGATTCATAATGCTTGCTTTGGAGGTAATTACAGCATTTTATACACTTTTTAGATAAAGAAATACATTCAAGCTTAATCTTACTTCTTTTCATGTATTTTAATTTTGGAAGAAAAAAGTTAAATGTTAAAAGTCTGAATCTTGGAAGAATTCATATGGGGCTCTTACATGAGCTCTTTTATTACAGGAAAAAAAATGACACTAGATATTCATGTAATAAAATAGTTCATTATTCCAAATTATGTAGACAGCTAATTTGATGATGATTATATTTTGCTGTGGGAAATTAAAGTGAAAATTGGTCATTTGACTATACATATTCTAAAAAGGTTGAGTCTACTCATACAGGAAATTGAAGCTTTTTTTTTTTTAGGCTATATTCTTGGCCCAAATTCTTAATTGTTTGTTGGTCTTCTATTTCCTTTTTCTCTGAATTAATTAGTAAATGAATGTGGAAAACTTTTTAATCTAGCTTCTCATTTAGATCATTGAGAATCAGCTGGTATGGTAAAATTTCTTATCCTCTTCATATGGATAAATGCAAACTTCACTATTTGAGAGGCAGTTCAGTGGCATTATCGTGAATGATCAGTATCCATGATCATGCTGAGATTATGTTCTTAGAGGTTTGTAATAAGGCCTTCATAGTGCTGCTGCCCTCTTTTAGCTATCAGAAGGAACGGGGGTATGCAGTATTGCGATGCCATTTGTAAACCCCTCAATGCATGACAGCAAGTACAGTTAGTACAGCCAAATTTTTCAGCTGACTTCAGACTAAGAAATTTTATATGTTTTGTGTAGATAGCCAATAGGGCTTTTAATTGTTTTTCCAGATCCATCATAAGAGCATAGAACATTGTTTGGAGGAACAATGGGGTCTCCCATTAATAACCTTCTAGTAAACAGTGTTCGTTTTTTAAAAAAAGGATATTCCAAATCCAGATTTTTTTTGCATTATTATTTGTAGTCTGTGTTCTCTTTTTAATCAGC